AAAATTAATATTAAAAATAATTAAAATAATTAATAAATAAATAAAAATATATTTTTAAAAATTATTAGTCAATATTTTAAATGGTACTTTTTAATTATAAATATAATTTATTATAAAAAGAACTAAAATCAATTTTTATATATATTTATTGATATAAAATTAGTTTAATAGATATATAATGTATATGATTTTAATATATTTAATGCGTCCGGATCCGGATCCGGATATCCGGACCTTAAAATTTTGTTATCCGGATCCGGATCCTAAATTTTACTATCCTTATCCGGATCCGGCCTCCCCGGATATCATAATTTTCTGAGCGATTCCGAACGGATAACGGATCGGATCTCGGATCCCGGATAATAATTCCACCCCTACTCTCTACATAACACTTTGAAATCTTCGATAAATTTGATATCCATTAATTTGCATTAACTACATTTTCTAAAAATCAACTCTCATACATACGGTATAACTTTTAAAACCTTTACCAAACCAAAAGAATTCCACAGTTACTAATTATCTATATTACTCTTAATATTCAATAATGTTTTGTATTTAGGCTTTAAAAGTTAGTGTGGTTTTAACCTTTAAAGATGTATTTTCAAAAACTCAAGAAATTAAACACTAGTTAAAATTAAATGAATTATTTTCTGTTTTAACCAAAATTTTGTTAAGTCAGCCTAGTGAAATTATCGCCAAACACACATAAGTAACTATCAACTTAGACAGAGGAATCTTTTTTCAAGAACATAAGTTTTGATGATTTCTTTGTTTCATGAATGATCATGAATATTTTTTACACCTTCTAGAGAAGAAAATCAAAGTTACAGAAGCTAAATATGTACGTTATGCGGTCATTCCATCTAGAATCCATCCGAGTCTAGTCAAGAACGACATATAATCTGACCAAGTGCTTGAAAAAATTCTACGTCTATATGGATCTGATGGCTACACGAATGAGGTTAAACACTTCAACTAGAAGTGTCATTTTTCTAGTAAAAAAATTTTGAACGCTGCAATTGTAACTTTAGACACTCGGGAAGAATGTCGTTTGGCTATAAGAATGTTCGAAAATATGCATAAGGATTTGGTCAAAACACATACCACCTATTGGAACATTTTGGTTGCATGTAATCATGCCAGAGAGCCTATTTATTACTAGATCAAAGAATTCCACAACTATCAATTATCTATGTTACGCTTAATATTAAATAAATAAAAAAGGAACGTTCAAAAATTTTTTTTCCGGGGGTTCCGAATTTAAGCTTTTAATAATCAATTAGTGTGGTTTTAAAT